AAATAAATCATTTCATTTTCACATGACGGTTTTTATATGTTTACATTGATGGTCATTGATGCACCTGCTAAAGAACCAGCACGTACATGGCAATAAATAATGTCCATATTAGTATAAATGAAGCTTTCAACTGTTTCTCTATGGAAAAGTGTGGAGTCACACGCTCCCGGATTTATATCAATGAAAGTATTTGTAGACGATTTAAGCCTGTGGATGAATGACGTACTGTAAATTTCAACATATGCCTGCAGCGTTTTTAATAGTTTTTTTAATAGTATGCGCACTTCAAATACTCCGTAATGCATATCATAGACCATTGGAAAATGCAACAGATTTGTTTTATTTTATAGACATATAAAAGCCAATAACATAATGGTTGTTTCGAGGGTGTCAGGTGACATAGTTTATATGCATAGTTCTAATAATATCTAGAGAAATTTCGCATCTGGTGCTGTACTGCAGGTCTTGGACAAGAGATATGATTAACATGCCGAACATATAAGCGCGGACTTCATTAATATATTGTAAATGGTATATCTAGTTAACTAACAAGCAACCAGTGTTGTAATATGGTATTGACTAGTATATATCTAATATCGTAATTGCTGTCACAGGGAGAAACAAATGTGGACACAATACAGGCAATGAACAAATAGTATGAATAACAGAACACGTAACCATATATGGTGTTATCATTAATGTGTATAGCTAACACTTCGAGAACTGTTGCTAATAGAAGCAAGTATCCAGTGTTTTATTGGAAGCTTTCGTCAGGAGGCATGATTAAGCTATCACCTGCCTGTATGTGACTAGGACATCTCGTTAGTTATGCCTTTATTTATTATTTTCTAAAATGAGACGTAACAAAACATGTACAACAAACTTGATGTACATAGAATATAGTAGTCCATGCCTTTCTTTGCAACTACATTTATTATTATTTATTTGAACAATATAACACGTACTAGGTTGAAAGCATAGAATAACAGGTGTGAACATAGAATAAAACGCCCTTAAAAACACACCAAGTGGATAGTTATCAGGCAACGTGTAATAGACAAATATCTTTTTAATTCATTTTCATAAATATAAATGATTGAAAGGGCACTGTCAATTATTTACAAAATATTGAAAACAATCCAATATGTTGCAAAATGATGTTCGCAATAAGCCTACATATACAGACTATTCTAACGACAGGGCTGTTAAAGGGGACTCCCAGCGGGAGTCTGGCCCTCACTCTTGTGGGCTCCAAGGTGAGACATTAAAAACCTCAAAAATGGTTCTTTATTGGAGTCTACACCTTTTGAAAAGCGTGAAAATAATAAAACATGTTGGTATTGCACAGTGATTCTTGAATAGGGCGGCATAAATATACCAAATCTACCGAACCCGCACATTATATGGTATACTATTACATTGTTATGTAATTTTGGTGAAAATACAACTACCCATGCAGTCTATCCTAGCAAGAAGAACACTTTATATTTTGCCTGAATCTGCATAAGTACAAAGCCGTCACGGAATTTATACATAAGTGTACTAGGAAGAAAAGTTATCATGTTACCTTTCATAATCTCCTTCATAAGCGTAGTATTAATTTCGCATGCGATAAGTGTTTTATATATATTAACTGTATTTGGAAAATCGTACATCTCACGTTTCGTGTTGTCGATCAAGCTAATAAGAAAGAAAAGACAATCGACGTAACCTAATGTACAATAAAAGACCACGCAGTACAATATACAACTGATAAATTAAACAATCATCCCTGTCTGCTGTACATGCCTAATCTATATACATGTTTTACCCTTATTCTAAAACTAATATCTTATTATAACACTGGCTACTGGAAATGCCCAATGCCATACACCTGTTATAATCCTGTTTACTACTAATTCCAATTAACGATTATCTTGTTATAAACCTGTCTACTGAAAATTGCCAATACTATACACTTGTTATAATCCCGTCTACTGGAAATATATACCCAACTCTACACTTGTTATAACCATGTCTACTGGAAATATATACCCAACTCTACACTTGTTATAACCATGTCTACTGCAAATGTGCAATGCTATACACTTCTTATAACCCTCTCTACTGGAGATGCCCAATAATATATTCTTGTTGTAATCCTGTCTACTGGGAATATATACCTAACTCTACACTGGTTATAACCATGTTTACTGGAAATGCCCAATACTGTATACTATACATTTGTTATAACCCTGTCTACTGGAAATGAACAATACATACACTTGTAATAACTCAGTTTACTGGAAATGCCAATGACAATTGTTATAATCCTGTCTACAACTAATTTCAAAAAATGTTATAATCCCGTCTGCCCAATACTTTACACTTGTTATAACCCTGTCTACAGGTATTAAAGTATTGCGGAAGCAATATGCTTTGTGACGGGAACGCAAGCGATAGTGCGCCATCAACACGTAGTGTGCTGTCACTCATCGTTGTGGAAGATGTGACGTCACTTAAAATGTGATTGTTATTTCCTAGTGTGGTAAATTGTTGAAATAATACTCATCCCCCCCACTATAAATAATAAATGAATAATAAACTTCTACGGTTCAAGACTTAAATAAATACAAGCGGTGAAAGACAAACAAATAACAAAAAAACTCAGTTGCTGCTTCTTTTTTTACTTTTTCAGAGTAAATTCAACACTACAGATGAACAGTTTAGCTTATTTTATTTTACCACCAGAATACAAATAATTTGATCATAATATTGACGTTGCAGTAGCTTTTTCATTTAAACAATGTTATATTATCACCAGAAATTGCAAATAGGTACTTTGTATTTATCAAGTGTTATAAATTACATGTCCAAGTTCTTGATTCTGTACACATTAAATTGTATGTTTTCTAATTCACCTACTTATCCGCACCGCACCACATCGAATACATTCAAACTAGTATGGACAGTTTCAGATCCAGATACGGAATATAATCATAATATAAACCATTCATAGGTTGCTGTTGCACTGAATTATATACATTACTAAACTATCATATATTAACCCACCATAGCTTTACTGGGCAGACGCGCAGAACATGCTCTGAACTCAGCACCATGGATAAAATAGTGGATCCCCGCAAACGACTACAGTCTTGAGCACAAGTAAATGTGAAGTTGGGAGTTGTCTTATACTAAAGAAAGGTAAAATTGGTCAGAGTGAACCATTTCCTTGTTGTCACGTGTGTGATAGGACCAGTCGACGTCATCACGTGGGTAGTTATTTGTGAAAGAGAGAGGGGAGTGTTAACACGGCCTTACCTCGGGCCACATCTGTTTTATATGTTTGTCTGTTGACATGTAGGTTGTGCGTTTGTATCGACGTTGTCAATGAGGAAACAATATTAATGCTTGCGTGTTGGATTTGATTTAATAATGGAATAAATGCTGGCCAATGTAGTCACCCATCTGCCTGTGGTTTAGCCTTTGCAAAGGTCAACTATTATTAAAAAGATTATTGTCCACGTATGTCTCAATCTGTTTGTTGTGCAGGTACGGGAATCTGGTTACAGCAATACTGGTGAGAAATACTTATTTTTGTGCATTTTCTTCTATAGAATGTATATTTGACAACTCGTTTGCTCCATAACACTATTATAAACTTTTTTACCGATATAATGTTTTTCTACTATTTCAAAAATGTCGTTTTGAATTTGTGTTTGTGGTTGTCGAACATAGTAATCTGTTTGTTTTTTTCACTAACACGAAAATTTCGTTCAAATCGTTCATTATTCAGCGGTTACTATTACATACGCTGATATAATACGTAGTCCCAAATGTATTTGAACATGTGTTGAACATCATGAGTGAGTTTTTGTGAAAAAAACACAGGTTCTTAAATATGCGACTGACCTAGAAATCGGTTTGTGACATTCTGAACTTGTACAAAACAGCCATTGAGGCAATCACAACACGATGTTATAAGTGTCGCTTTTTTTCATTACAAATCCGATTAGAATTCGGTTTAAATCCTTCCTATTTTGAAATCAGTTGTTTGTACGAG